GGACGTATCCACGGGGAAATCTTCCCACTCTTTTGCCTCCCTGAAGCACTTTAGGCGGGCACTACAGAACCTGGCCCTCATTGATAGCTGGCGCGCACTCCTCGCCCCGACAGGGATTATAGTTATTATTCTAGTGTCCATGGCACAGACTCACACATAGACCTACTGCTCATTGACCAATACCACCTAGACAACGTCCTTAGCGCAACAGTCGGCGCTATCACGCTCTCTGACCACGCAGCCATAACCTTATCTGTTTCCTTGCCGGGACTTTGCCGGCCGGAATGGACGTGGCGTCTAAACGAATTGCTTTTGGACGCCGCCGCAATTGACGGTGCTGTCGAAACTGCGATCACTGACTATTTTGAACTTAATCGTAACGGAGAAGTAGGAGACGCCACTCTCTGGGAAGGCCACAAAGCTGTCGTCCGAGGTGTACTCATCTCCCATGGTGACCGCCTTAAGAGAGCTCGACAGAAGGAATTGACTGACTTCTTGGAGGCATTAAAAGTGGCAGAACTGTCCCACAAAAGCTCAGGCCTCCCCAACGACAAGGCTGCGCTAGACAAGCTACGCACTGACCTAACCTCCCTCCTTGATAAACGACTACGGCAGCGGCTGCGATATGTTTCCTTCCGCTTTTACGAACACGGTAATAAATGCGCTAGACTCTTGGCCAATACGCTGCGGAAACGCAGAGCAATGTCACACGTCCACAAGGTCGGGAAAAGGAGGTCGTTAGTACCTCCAAAATAGCTGACGCTTTCCGCTCATATTATGCGACCCTCTATGACCTGCCCCCTAACGACCCAACCTTGACAGACGACCACCGCCGCAACCGCATTTATTATGTTGTTTATTAATGCAAAACTGGAAAATAAAGAATATTTAAAAGGTAAATATGTCTTAAGCCTATCTCATTCTCTATGAATTAAAGAAATATTAGGGATCTCCAACTTGGCGAGATTCACCTTAAAATTGCTCACGGTACCAAAAACCTTAAACTCTTGCAAAATAGAAAGCAGACTGGTAGTTGGAGAAGTGATATATAGAAGTAAGTTGTCTGCATATAATGCAAGTTTGTATTCCATGTCCCCAAGTCGCAAACCTTTAACATTGATATTATTTCGTAGGGCCACTGCCAGGTGCTCCATTGTTATCACAAAGAATTGGGGACAAAGGGCAACCTTGACGAGTTCCATAACTGATATTAAAAGGGTCAGAAAGGTATCCATTTATCCTAGCTGATAGGGAGGAATATAAAGCCATAATCCTAGCGAGTAGCTGATGGCCCCAATTCAACTGTCTAAGAGAATGGTATAGAAACTGCCAATTCTGCCTCCGTATCCACTGAGAGAAGGCACATTGGGATGTTACTCATACTTGCATGCGATATTAAATGGAAAGTCTTGATGGTATTATCTCTCGCTTCTCTACCTCTGACAAACCCCACCTGATCCGTGTGAATAATCTGCGGAATAATAGACTGAAATCTCATAGCTATCATCTTGGAGTAAAACTTATTATCTCACTTGAGAAGAGAAATTGGCCTATAACTTCCAGGATCAGACTCATCCTTACCTGGTTTTAAAATCAAGGAAATATGTGCAGAAAGGGATTGAGACGGGAACGAACAGCTCTCCGAGATTGAATTAAAAGTTTGCAGTTCTTCCAAAAATTGTTTATAAAATCTATTAGAAAACACATCGGGTCCGTGGGAGTTGCATATACCAAAAGAAAAAAGAAAAACCCAACCACAAAAACAAAACAAAAACCAAAATGTGTACCCTTCAAGGCCATAAAAACTCATAGTCTAAGACACCTATAGTAAATAATACTAAGGTCTCCAAAAATGCAGGTAGATCCTCCATTGATTTCCACTAAAGGGCAACTAAAATTTCCATCTTTAGTTGCCCTTAAACAAAAGGGATAGCCCCATCTATATATAATATTCCTAGAGCGTATCAAGTCCAAGAGAGGCTTCAATGCTCCACGTATTTGCAACGTGCATCTAGAAAGATCCACCAAGGAGTATTGGCCTGCCCTCAAAATATATCTCCTTGGCATTTCTAGCAGCTTTCATAATATCTTCTTTAACCCCGTCGTGACTGACGACGTACAGTGTACGTCGCCAGCATCGGGGCTGTTTAAAAAGACTCCCGGCGGCACTCTGTTTAAACTTGTAAAACGACTGCCGGCTTTACAACAGAAGCGATTCTGGTGACTTACCTGTCGCCAGATCGCTTCTGTGTCCCGACAAAAATGTAAAAGTCCCCCGCCCTGTGAGCACGCGCGTCGCCACGTAAACACGCGTCGGGTGCGCTTACGTATGAAAACGACGAACGTGCTGCACATGTTGGGTATCGCCACGCACGCCGGAGTGAAAGCAATAATTCTAGGGCCAGTATTTTGGGGTATCTCTAAATTGATGACCTGTGGGGGCTTTTAAAGCGTCTTCTATGGACTTTTTGGGGTACTGCAGTTCTTCGCCGTTTCACGGACGCACGCAATTTGTAACCTGGGCATGTTGGGTATCATTTTACTTGTCGTAACCTCATCTTTTATATTTCATTAAAACAATGGGTATTTTGTTGTGTTTTGGGGCATTTAATTATTTTTCACTAAATGTTGGGGTTTAATAAGGAGTTGCGCTAATATTGCACAACATAAAAATTTGCAACTACCACCATTTTATTCTATAGGGTCTTGGCATTCAGAAAATATATAAAGTTTGGGGGTTTTAAGTAGGGATGTCCCGATGCCACTTTTTCCGGACCAAGTACAAGTACAAGTACATCCCCTCATGTACTTGCCGATACCAACATTAAGGTCATTAAGTCATTTTCAGGCCTAAAATGTGGAATATAACATGGGTGCAAAAAATGAAAAAAAGGCCTCAGTCATGAAGGGGTTAATAGAATAAAAGTGAATTCTATAGATGATATCTCTGTGTCTTTCTGCATCCAAAGATCGAGCGCCCAGTATCCTATGGGCGCTATCAATTTCAAACTCCGAGTCCTTGCTTTTAGCTAATAGTAGATTAAAAAAAGCACGTAGCCTTGAAATAAGTTCTTCTGTTTTAATCAATTCCGGGATTCCCCTTATCCTAATATCGTTGCACGTGGAATGATTCTCCCGATCGTCCAGTTGGTATGACAGATTCTGTATTTGTGCCGTATGATCGTTCAAGATCTGATGGTGAGTATGCAGTCTGTCCAGCATCCGTTCAGCTATTTGTTCAACTCCCTTCAAATGTACTCCAAACTGAGCAATATCCGCTTTCAGATCTGCCATGTCTGCTTTATGCAGTTTTTCTAGGCGTAGGAAATATTTTTCCAAGTCTGTCTTCATAGGCAAGGAGCGAATATGCACACTAAGTGACCCCCTCCTCAGCTGTCAACTCTCGGTCAGTAGGACTCCCCTCCTCCCCACAGCCCTCCACCGGAATGCACAGAGGAAATGCTTCTGAACTCATAGCAGGGGAGGCTTGAGGCGAAGGTTCCGAGATAACCTCTGGCGACCCCTTCAAAACTGGAGACACAGGCTTGCTCGTCTGGGAAGGCTAAAAAAAGGTATGGAGATGTCTAGCTTTAGATCTCCCGGTGACAGGGATATTCTTCTGATGTTCGGTATTGCCCAATTTTGCACCTAAAAATGCTTTGATCAGTAGAGAAATGCCGGAGGGGGAGAGGAAATCAGGAGCCTCGTGTGTACACAACTTACTGAGCCATCAGCTGATCCCCCCCCCCCCACCCCCCTGTAAAATAGCATTTGAGGTTGAAGACATAAGTCCATCCTGTTGTGTGCATGTATAGGTCCCTGTGTGATCGCATTTTTGATAGTTCCTGTACCCCTGTATATTACGGTCCCTAAGGAAACCGTCCAAAAGCTTCTTGAACGAGTCCACACTCTTAGCTGAAATCACTGCCTGTGGGTCACTTTGAAATTAACCCCAGTATCCCCCTTGAATTCTCTGTTTGAACAAGAAACACAGGATATGTCGTAAATAGAGAATCGCTACTGCACTTAGAGGGATAGTACAGATCACAGTGTGCTTCTGCAATGACATGTGGAAGAGGGTGAACACATATGCTACTGAAATAATGTGTGTGGGAGGCAATAGGGTTTACACAGTCTGCTACTGCAATTAAGTTGTGGGAAAAAGAAGGTCACCTGCTTTATTCTGGAATCTGGGTCAGTGTATTCTGGGGAACATTAAGACAGCGCTCTTCTTAAAATTTCCCTCCTCTCCAAGATGAGGTGCAGAGTGAAGGAAGATATGCATGTTGAAAGCACACTGAACATAAAACCCTGTGAAAATAGATTGTGACTTCTGTATTTGTATACAAACTTGTCTTGCCAGACTGGAGGATATGATTTACATGAATCGGCAGCAGCTGAGTCTTCTGGTGCACCAATACTACTTTAGGTTGAACTTGATGGACTTGTGTCTTTTTCAACCTGACTAACTATGTAACACTTACCAGAAGGCTGATAATGTTCCAAGACCTGTTCAGTCCATCTCCTCCTCTCTTCTTAACACTGGCTCTCAGTCACAACATGCACACGCAAAATATAAGACACAGTTATTTTACTTACCAAGTATCTGCACTTCTATGTGGCGAGGTTTTTCAATAAATTTCCCTCCTCTCCAAGATGAGGTGCAGAGTGAAGGAAGATATGCATGTTGAAAGCACACTGAACATAAAACCCTGTGAAAATAGATTGTGACTTCTGTATTTGTATACAAACTTGTCTTGCCAGACTGGAGGATATGATTTACATGAATCGGCAGCAGCTGAGTCTTCTGGTGCACCAATACTACTTTAGGTTGAACTTGATGGACTTGTGTCTTTTTCAACCTGACTAACTATGTAACACTTACCAGAAGGCTGATAATGTTCCAAGACCTGTTCAGTCCATCTCCTCCTCTCTTCTTAACACTGGCTCTCAGTCACAACATGCACACGCAAAATATAAGACACAGTTATTTTACTTACCAAGTATCTGCACTTCTATGTGGCGAGGTTTTTCAATAAATTTCTCCACAAATAAGGAACCATTTCCAAAAGCTGATAGTGCTTCTGAATATGCCCTGGTGTAATTTTCTTCAAGTTCCTAAACGATAAATTAAATACTTTTATAAAATAAACTAAAATGACATAACTGTAAACATTCAGCAGGTAAGACATGACTTAACTATAAAATGTACACTGTAGCTGTTATTCCTCCCAGATAAAAAAAAACAGAGATGTGATATTGTGCATTCACTTTTTTCCATGTCAAAAAGTACCTCCTAGCTACGATACACAATATGGATCACCTACCTAAGCGCTTCTCTCGGCTGCATTTTTTTCCTGGCCAGTCACAGCATACGCTTAACCTTCTCAAACAACTGGGACCAGTCACCAGAACTCTACGTAATGAGCACATTTCTTATCGTGGGGGATACCCCATGAAAATCATCAACAACAAAGGAACATTTTATGTCATCTCCTCTGTGGAAGATGGTGCTAAACTGCTGCGAACATCGATCTTGTAGCAGATCTTCCTGCTTCCTCTACTCCTACCCTGAAGAAAACATCATCCTAGTGGCAACCAGCTGCACGATATTCTAAAAGCAAGACTTGAAGGATGTCTGGAATCTCAATTTTTTGTTTTACCTCATAACGTGAATTCTGGAGCCCTCACATATTATTGTGTAGCTCTAACACTACCACCCCAGTTAATTTGAGCAGTGTTGTACTGCTTACATCTTCCTGTTAATTATTTGTTTTAACCTTCTCGGCTATTGGATATGGCCATTGTTATGCTTTTAAACAAAAATAATGTGTTTAATGTTTTCTCCAGTGTCAACAATCTTTCCTCCAGATGCTTGTGCGAGGACTATTCACTCTACCTGCTTGGTTTTGAAGCCTCTCACTTCCTACTTCTACCCATCACAGTATGGACCATTGACTATGTAAGTTATGCAGCTAATTCAACATCCCAATGCTTGTATCATCTGACTTGAAGCTTGTTTCTTTTAATGTCCGGGGCCTAAACCACCCTGTCAAATGCTCTGCCTTGAGGGAAGCTGTCTCCTCCAAGGCAGATGCTATTTGTATCCAAGAGACCCATTTTAAAGAGGGGGCAGCTCCTTCTTGTTCCCATAGTGAATTTCCTCATCTGTTCTCCAACATGCCGAACAAAAAAAAGAGGGGTGTTTTGATAGCGATTAAGAAAAATGTAGCCTTTACTAAGCAAAATGTAATAATCCACCAGGCGGGTCATTATATTATACTGGTGGCCATACTTGACAATGTTATATATACAGTACCATAGTTAACATCTATACTCCAAAATGTTCGCCAAATTTGATTCTTGAAACGTTTATTTAAGCTCCTATCTAAAGTCCAGAAGGGCTCCTTGATACTCTGTGGTCATTTTAACTTAGTTCCTGACAGCAAAAATAAACAACACTGCGCTGCAATTAACTGTGGATCCCTAAGTGAACTAATAATGATACATAACTATATAGCATCTGTGTTGTGTAACCTCTATGCTCCAAGAAACGTAAAACCAATTCTGTATGTACTAAATAAACATAATATTGAAAAAATAAATTAGATTAAAGTCTTTTTTTAAATCTACTGTTTGGTCCAAACGGTCAGTGTTCTTTTTCTGTTAACCACCATGCTCTTTTTCCTTTATTTGTGTTTAAATCATGTGAATCCGCATTCACCAGCTGTTGTTGTTCACCTTTGACGGGCTTACCATGTATCATTTGTTTCTCCCCTTTCTTTGCCACTCTTAACCGATGAACTGGCTTCCAGGATCCTTCTATATCTTTTAAGGATTGGTTAGTTTTTCTCTTTTTTCATTTAGGCACCAATGCTCAAAAACATGAAAGTACTCTCCATTGTGCAGTATTGGTTAAAAAAATGTAATGTGTATAAAATAATAATACTTGGGGGTGTGTGGCCTGAGACCAAGATGGACGTCTAGACCCTCTCCTCCGGCACCTGGGGTCCCTTCTTTTCACTTCTAGCAGTGCACTCCCTACCTGAAACTGTGGGGAAAACCGGAAGAAATACCCTGGCGACCAAAGCACCTCAAGACCCGGGTTTCCAGCTCGGCCGCAACCTCACGGAGCTGTTTCGTTTCCAGCCGTCTGAGCGCCACGTTGGGAACGCGGCGCCATCGACTTCAGCTGTTTACCGTACCAGTAGAAGCCCTGACAGGGAGTTGCTGGATGACTCGAATCACCCGCAATCTGACCTCTTAGCTCTTATGTGCCAAATGCTCCGCATGTTGGATCTTAATTCAATAGCCCAGGATATCAAATCCACGTTATCAGCAGCGATATAAAATTTGAAAGCAAACGTTTACTCCCTGGCCAACCGCATCCAAACAGTCGAGCATGTGTCCTCTCGCCATTCTTCCTTTATACGGAGCATCCAGCGGATGACTACCACTCATAATGCCCGCTTGCTGGAGATGCACCGACACCTGGAAGATCTCAACAATCGTGACTGTCGACACACCATAAGAGTGAGAGGCATACCCGAAACGGTCGACTCGGACCAATTGAAACCTACACTTCTGCATATCTTTAACGACCTCTTCGACAGACCACCGGAGTTGCCGGTCTCCATGGAGCGGTTTCACTGCACGCTCCGCCCTAGAGGCCGCGGGATACTGATCCTCCTCGAGATGTCATGTGCTGCCTGGTGGACTTTTGCCTGAAAGAAGACATCCTTCATAGAGTCAGGGAAAGACAATGTGCCCTCTTCCATGACGCAGAGGTACAACTGTTCCAGGACCTTTCGCACATCACTCTACAACAGGGATCTCCGACCCCTGCTGCAATCCCTCAGTTGCCGCGGCATCACCTACAGATGGTGGTTTCCTGTTGGTCTGGCAGCCACTTCCTCAGGCCGTACTATCCTCCTCACGGCTCCAGCTGACCTGCAACGCCTCTATGACCAGCTTTGCATCTCGCTCATGGATCTCTCGGAATGGTACGAAGCGTTCTGGCCCCCGGAAAGGTCACCTCCACCGAGAGTCGCTATCTTTTGCTCAAGAGCACATTTAACAACACTCCAGTAACTATAGACAACTTTTACTGTACCAATATAAGGCAAGTCTTTCTTCGTAAAATATGCTCTCTAATGAGAAATTTTGCTGTAGGAATGCTAATTCTGGGAGGTGATTTTAACGTGCCATTGACTCCCCTCCTGGATTCATTTACAGATAAATTGTCAATTCCTTTCCGATGCCTATGCGCGATTAAGAAGCTTCTGACGAGGGGCATGGCTTGGCGCATGGAGCGGTGAGACGTGTGTCGGATCGTCTCCCGCTCGTAAGGGCTCTCTATACCGCCGGCAGCAGCAGAATCATCCCCGCACAGCAGGCAAAAAGGGGAAGAGGCAGCTTCATAAGGGTCCCGCTCCATGAGAACTGACGCGTTTTTTCACCCGGACGGCACCAGCGGCCTCTGTGGCTATCCCCCCCTGGTGCAGCCAAGATGGCGCCGCCGGAGCTTTCTCCAGCACACTCCGAAGTTTGCAACCCTGGAGCAGGTGAGCCAGATTATGGGGCCCCACTCCCCCCATAGCTCAGGAGGGCTCTCCCATTGTTCCAGGAGCCTGTCTCAAGCTTCTCTCAGCTCCCATGGGGGCTGGGACATGGAGGCATACATTAAAGCCATGCCCACTAAGAAGGACATTGAATCCTGTTTTGCACGATTTGAGCACACATATAAGATGGAAATGTCCACCTTAAAGAAAGATCTGAGCTCCAGACTAGAGGACATTGAACAAACATCCTCAGAATTACGCTCCCGGATACTCCTGCATGATACTACATTACAGGAACACACTGTGTTATTGCATCAATTGATATATCAGCAGGATGACCAGGAAAATAGAAAAACTGTTGCAACAATATTCGCATTTGCGGTCTTCTGGAGTCCATTGAGTCCAAAGACTTGAAATCTGCTGCGATTGCTCTCTTTAACCAAATCCTGAATTAGCCCAAGAAGTCCCCTATAGAAGTGGACAGGATACATAAGGCACTGGGGCCAGACGTCCAGACCAATCCAACCCCAGAGAGGTCATTTGTCGGATTAATTTTTTCAAAATTAAAGAGGCTATCATGCGGGCTGCTCGTATGCAGGAAACTATTCCTGTTTAATGACACTCCTATCTCCCTACAGCCTGACCTTTCGGGCCACACACTCTCCCTTCGCAGGGCTCTGCGACCACTTGACAGGCTCCGTCAACGCAACATTAAATACAGATGGGATTTTCCCTTTCAGCTTATTGTTCAACATGATGGCAAGTCGGCCAATTTCAGCTCCCTGGGTAGTCTCCCAGCCTTCTTGGGCAAGTTGGAACTTCCTCACATCGCCTTACCGGACTGGCTGATTAAACCGACCCTGCCTGGCTTTGTCTCACTCTCCTCCTGGTCAAAGAAATCGAGGAAACCCACCGGACGCACAGAGGCCTCGTCCGCCTTTCACACCTGACTGATGTCCCATCCACCTCTACATCCCTTTCTCCATCCTGATGGATCATTGCCGTCAGCCTTTCGCCGGATGATGCCCGATGCCTACCTGTGCTGTTTCAAGTGGTTTTGTTGCTGACCACATATGCTGCTGTTGTTTACTATCTACATTTTTGTATATCGTTTATATACATGTTTTCTGTTACTTGTTTAATATGCCCAATTATCTTGTAGCCCTTGGCTACTTTATTCATGTTATCTATGCATGCCCTGGAGTGGGAGAAACTCCCTGTGCCTTCCATGTTACCCCCAATGACCTCTTGAATGTTTATTGTGCTTTTTGGTTCATGATGTGGTTTATTTCCTTGCCATTCTCTCTCAGCACCACTAGATGGTGTAAGAGAACCCATTTCCTTTTTTCGCTCTTTCCCTCCTTTTCTCTCCCCCACCGCCTTTATGTCTCCTTCCTTCCTCTCCACTACTCTTTCCCCTACCTTGGGGGATGGGTGTAGTTCCACGGCCTACCTTTTTAAGCTCCCATGATGGCTAACCCCTATATCACCTTAGCTACCTTAAATGTGCGGGCTTTAACATTCCGCAGAAACGGAGCCAGGTGCTTTATCATTTCC